CGTTGGCGTCTCGCGGGGCCGCGGCTCACGGGCTGCGCGCGTTTCTCCGGCAGGAGCCTGGGTTGCGTGAAGGCCGGCTCTGCGTCTTCCCGCCCGCCGCGGGGACTGCACGGACCCCGGAGAGCTGGGGAGGTGGGCAGTGCTCGCAGGGTGGGTACCCCGAGGGCGCTCCACGTGGATAGGGTTTCGGTGGGACCACGAGGAAGACAGGCTGGGCTCCCCCGGTAGTAGTAATAGGAAGTGTCCCGAGCGGTAACTGAGGACGCTTAGGCCTACTGGCCGCATTCGCTGACCCGCGACGGCTGGTGTGGACGGACATGCCGGAAGCCATGCTCACTTTCTGTCTCTATTTCTTCGTGTCCCGGACGGCAGGTGCAGAGGATGAGAAGACAGACGCGGCGTCCCGCGATGAGGTAAGACCTGATCTGCTGGGGCTTAATACGTAACTTAGTTGCAGTTTCGTGGCCTTCAGTGCTCTGAAATGGATTTTTCTTTTTGGGGTTTTACAGTTGTGAATTTTACATGCACTTAACGTTACGGATCACCTCGCATAGTGTGGAACCTCAAAGGGAAACGAGGCGGCTGCTCCACCCACAGTCCTAACCCCGAATTGAGCGGGTGCTGTATGCAGAAACGAACGCCCATGTGGAGACGTGCTTACGGTGGCTGCTTTTAAGGCGATTCGAAATGAGTTTCAGGTAATGTCCAGGTCTCTGGTTGGAGCAGTAGTGGAGGCTGGTGAGGTGCTTGACTGCTCTGATGAAATCACTAATAGGAAGTGCCGTCAGAAGCGATAACTGACGATAACTACTCCTGGCTGACCGCAGTCAAGTCCTCACCCGTTGCTCGTGCCCAGGAATAAGTTGTTTTGAACTGTGACCTACTTTCTTTGCCATGTTCCCCAGGTTGCACATTAGCAAAGCATCACCAGCAGCTGAGTACTGGAGCCAGGAACGTTGGCCTTCTGTGAGGTGAGTTTTTATTTTATGGGGCGATGACTGGTTGACAATGCCTAACAGGTCAGAGAGTGGCAGTTTCTTTTGGTTAACCTAATACCTTGGCCCTTGACCTTTATTGGCAGCATGCCCCAGAGATATTGGTTATGGCTGGGGACAGGGGAGGTGAAGGGGGGGCGGATTAAGCAGAGTGGAGTGCATAGCCAGGAGGACGGGGTGGTTCCTATTGGGCAAATTACCTGTCTGGTGTGAGATG